GGGGGTGACAGATGTCCGCTGCACCATCTCCTGCTGGGGTCAAGATCTCCTTCCGGAAGAGAAAAGGTCATGATCATTCAAGACCAGCAAGGGCAGCAGGCTTGCTTTTTGCGGAGCAGGAACATCGAGGAAGGAATAATGCGTGGAATAAATCGTCTGGGCCCAGGACCTCAGGGCTAGAAAGAAATGCGGAACGAGCAAAGAGCATCCTGATTGTAACAGAACAGAGCACGTTTCGCTGGTGCCACCGACACGGACTGCTACCCTCCCCTGAAGGGCACAGTCACCAATGAAGAGGGAGTCTTCTGCCTCTTCTCCTGCTGATACGAATCTCAAAAAATCACCTTGACGTGACAAAACCACGTGTGAACCCGGTTCCACATCACAGTAAGACCTAGGTTCCCGATGTGTTCACTGCTCGATTGCGCCCAAGATTTCTGTTATCTGAGAAAACTATGACTCAAAGAACAGAAAGGGAGGCAAGAAAGAGTGAGGACCGCTGATGCGTTTAGCGGCTCAGTCACGATGCCCCCCGAGGGCTCCCGCGCTCCACGCTGAGCAACAGCGAGAGCAGACCCCGCCCTGGAGCTGAAGCTGTGTCGGGGGAACAGAGACAAAGGCCATCTGAGCTCCGTGAAGGCCAGAGGGCAGGGAGCGGCCTGCTCTCCCGACCCACCCAGAAATCACACCCCCGGGGGCTACCCCATCTCACAGGGCCTTCTCCTGAGTGAGGGCGGAAGGCCGGCTGTCGGGGTGGCTGGGACTCCATCCCCGCTAGCAGCAAGGTGACTCCATGTAAAACCAGGCTCTGCAACAACCATCCCTGGCGGCTCCAAAGTTAAAACATCCTGCCCTCCCTGGGCCGCAGCAAGGGCAGGGGCGGAAGGTGGACCGAGCCAGGGGGCAGCACTCGCTTTTGGGCTCTGGCCCCTTTCAGGTGGGTCAGGATGGCTCCAAAGATCTGCTGAGGTTTTGCGGGGCGGCGGTGCGTGAGAGAAGGCTGGCCTGCGGAGGGGCCCTTCTGGCCCACACTGCCCTGATGGCTTCCCACGCCGGGAGCAGCTGGTGGCCCCAGATCAGCCTTAATAAAGCCCCTCAGCTGGAAACACATACCCAGTTTGGAAATTAGAAAACAAACCTTTACTTTGTGTTGGTTCCTATCCCCCGACTTAAAAAGTTATTTGAAGAGTAACATGAGCTATCCTGGAGCCAACTGAGAGCGGCACGGCTGGGCGGATGGGTCCACGTGCTCCTGTTTATCCCGGTTATAAATCATCTTCTCATGATGTTGAAAGTCATGTTGAAATTAGGTCATTTTAGAGTAATTTATTAAAAGGTATTGAACTTGCAGAGCCAGGGGTATGTAAATGATTCTCTGACTGAGAGATTTATAATGGGTTTATTTAATTCCTGTAACAGGCCCTCGTGACCATGTGCTGGCCCAGGTGGCGCTGTCGGTCCCCTGCCCCCTGCGACCCACCGAGAGTCGAGACACCAGGATCCCGGGCTGAGCCGGGGTGACGAGCTTCTCCACCCTCATGCTTATTTCTCCAGATTAAGATGCCTCAGGAGATTTCTGTTTCTCTGACTTTACAGACTGGAATCCAGGAAAGGCGACAGTGATTAAACGCCTTCCCTGGTGCTAACAGCTCCACCGCTATTTTGATAATGCTGTTCAGTCTTCACTTGGGTAAACACCCAGAAAGGCGCAGGCACCAACAGCTTGGCCCCGATTCTAGAATCCTACACGCGAGGTCTTCATCACGGTACCTTTCCCCACGAAGACCATGCGTGTCCCTCCTGGCGATGTAAGTCTGTCTTACGCGGCATTCTCCGTTTCTAATTTCCGTCTTCCAGATACTGGAAAAAGCTTTTCTTCCCCTCCGCAACTTGGTGGCTGGAAACGGAGCCCCTGGGAAGCGCAGCTCAAGGTCAGGACCGGAGGGAGGCCTGACTTCTGGGTCACTGACCACGAGCCACCTGGGCGCCCGCTCCTCGCTGACGCAGGGAACCACTTCTCTCCTTCGCTCCCTCCTCCTGAGGCGCCACCATGTTCATTTCACGGGGATCAGCCGTGATCCCGCGACTGAAAGCCTGAGCTCCAGTGGTGAGAGCCGCCAAGGGGACCAGTCAGAGGCGGTCACCACACTCCCGCCTGTCCGTGGAGATGTCACTGCGGGCTCGCTGGCGCCCGCATGGACAGGGCCTCGGGGTGAGGCTGGGGGCACCTGCGCGCCGCCCCCCCATCCCCAGCCCTTCTTTATCTCCAATTATAAAGCGGCACCAGGCTTTCTCGTCAGCCGCTCTGCCGTGTCTCCAAATGGCTTTTCAGTGTCAGGCCTATCAGGAAATTAACTCATCACGCAGTGACAGCTGCTAATTTTTTCCCCTTACTTGTCAGATGGATCGCCCGCTGAAGCTAATAATGAATCACCAATCCCTGATTAGAAGGTGCTTCCGAAACGTATAACTGCCATCTGAGCTAACTTTTTTCTTCATGTAAAATGATATCACCCCAGAGGAGCAGCACACGGACTGCGTCCCTCAGCAAGACGGAGCGGAGGAGCTGCGCGTGCCCCTGAGCCCTGGGCTAACGTAAACCACGGCGCTTTCTGTAGTCCGCCCAGCGAGCAGGCTTTCCTCTTTCCTAATTCTCTTCCCAGAACCTGCTCTGGGTTTGGAGGCGAAGCTGGTTCTTCAGCTCTTTCCTCATGCTGTGATTTTATGTTCAGGAAAACAAAAGATTTGATAGAGCTGAGAACTACAAATGCCACCTGCCCGCCGGCCCTAGAACCGCCCCCCCAGACGCGGGCGACCTGGCAGTGGGGCCCTGGCTGCCTAGAGGGGGTGGTGGGCTGGGGCTGTGAGGGTGGGTGTGACCCTCTGTGGGGCCCTCGCCGTGCCTGAGCGCAGGCCCCCCGAGGCTCCTCCGGGCTGTCTCCTGGGACTTAGGGTCCACGTTTCTGGACTGAGGTGACAAATGAGAGGACCTCCCAGTGCTGCACTGACACCATCTTGCCATGTTTGCTTGCTTCTTCAAAGCAAATCAAGAAGCAAAACGAGTGTTCTTTGCAGCTCTCAGGTGACGTCAGTTGTCTGTGGCTTCGGGGTGTGGTGGGACGTGCTTTCGAGAATCCTCCCTCCCTCTGCTCCACCTTTTTAGTGACATCTCAGTCAGGGCGCTTCCTTTACGTGACCTTCTGTGGCTAGAACATCCTTTGTACAGAAACTTTGTTCTCTGCCACTCTCCCCCAAACACGCGAGCATCGCCCACCCTCAGCTGTGGAAGCTGAAATCTGAACCGCTTCCCTGCGTGACTTGGGCAGGGCAGTCCTGTTTTCCTCACCAGAGGTCTGGAAGCACAGTCATTTAATGGCTGCAGTTTAATCAAAAGGTGTTCTTTCTGGATTACAGTCTCCAAGTAAATGTTTCTGCTGCTCTGTTTTTCACTTCTTTAAAGTCCTATTGTCTTCACTGGTCAAAACTTCGGGGAGGCTCTAGGCTTGCGAGTCTTCCTCACAGACCATCCGGGCTGCAGGGGACACGCCCTCATCACTGTCAGCCATGCCTCATTATTCGGGAACCCACGCTTGTGGACGTGACTCCCTCGCATTCCAGTAGTTGTGTGATGAGAGAGAAACGGGAGCTAACGTTAACCCAGCTCTCCAGGTAATTAGAGGACACAGTAGCTTAGTGAATCCTCTGCAATACTTCCGAGCCTTGAAACACCTCCTGCACGATTTTTTTATGCAAAGGCCTGCTCTTTTCATTGTGCACACAATGTGATTGCTGGTTTGACGCTGCAGGCTACACTGGTTTTATGAAGGATTAAATGCCACCTGAGACATATTTATCCTAAATAAATCACAAACAGTAAACTGCAGCATGTCAGTGTCAACAGCCCGGGCTGCAGCAGAAAGGCTGGCCCTGCAGGACTGAGCAGTTAGAATTAGCATCCGAGCAGAGGGCCGCGGGCTGCAGCCAACGGGAGGAGTGAGCAAGAAATATTCCCCCTGAAAAACATCCCCTCCTCCGTTTTTTTTTTTTAACATGTATGAGAAGCTTGGAGGGGTGCATCACTTTGTAAAGGTCACCTTTATCCTGATGACAAACGGGAGCTGATCCTGTCACCGTTTGCTGAAGACAATGTTTAAAAAGAGCTGAACTGCCCTGCCATTTTTAAGAACACGAGCAAGTCGTACCCGGCTAATTATGAATCGCAGTGTCAAATTTGAAATTTTACCTTTTATTTTTTTTGGAGGGACAGTGGCATCCAGGGAGGTGGCCCTTGGATGGACGGGACTCAGGGCTCCGAGGACGAGAGGAGGGGAGGGGCAGCCTGTCCAGCCTCGTTTCCACGCTGACCTCTCAGGAAGGGTGTAAACGGGACACTGATTTCAACCGCGAAGGTATCATTTTCTCTTCCTTTTCTCCCTTCTGGATTCACAACTTCTAGATACCAACCAGGATAGAATCTGTTTTGTCACCAGAATCTGCCTGGGCCACGTGCCAGGTGGTCAGAAAACAGCAGATGCTGTCCCAACCCAGCACACTCGGCGTGAGCGGAGGGGAGAGGAACGTGTGTCAGACGAAGGACCGGCTCTCCTCGGGTTTTCCAGCTGCCCGCTGGTTGGCTGCTGGAAAGGAGATGGCATCGTTATCTTTCAATGCTGTAATTTTATTTCAAAGGAAAAAGAAACAGAACAAACACAACCTTTGCACTTGGGGGAGGGGATGATTCACAACTTTGGAAGAGTTAGAGGAGGAATCGGACCAGGAAAGCAGTCACGCGTGAACCTCATCCACGGTTGCAGCGGCCCCCGAGGAAGCACAGACCATCCTGCTGGGGCCAGGGCCACGGCGCATGGCTTTCTGTCACTAAAGTTTGATGTCAGCCCTTTCACACAGACACAAACTACAAATAAATCCCGTGAAAATGGTGTCAACATGAAAAAACATTCGTCGTCCAAGCAAAATATTGATACAAACAGTATTTTCCAGAGTGCACATTTCATATAGGCTTTATTGTATGAAACTAAGCCAAAATCAGAAGCGCTGAGTTTTCTTAACCAAGGTTTATTTTAATTGAATAAAAACGTCAAGGCGTTTCTTAACCGTAGGCTGAGAAGGGATCTTTTAAGCAGAAGCAACCAGAACAACGAACACCCTTACGCTGTCTGAAGGGAGGAAATGGGCTGCCTTTGGTCTGGGGACACTGTGACCCTAAGATTTCAAAAAAATGAAGAGCGTACTGCTTCAACATGGTAATACGGGGAGCTGCAATTTTTAACCAAACATGTAATAAAATGTTAAAACGGCGACATGCTAGGCTGCCAGAGCCGACGTGTCTCAAGCCACAAGGTACAGTGTTGTCATGTCTCCACTGCCAGGGCACAATCCTTTCAGAACTGAAATGGGAGAACATCGGTGGGGGAAAAAAACAGAAAACAACTTGGCTTCTCCTCAGCACAACATTAGGACAGAGGAAGGAGCGTGGACAGAAGAGTGGGGGTGAACAGACTGCCCCGCCCGCCCACGCGCAGCAGGTGCCCGGCCTCCGGTCAGCAGCGACATCACCCGGCCCGGAGCGGGTTCCTTCTCCTCGACGTGCATGTCACTGTCGCGAAGGCTTGGCAAGTGAAGTTCAGGGACACCTGCCACGTGTGCTGGTCTCTCCACACCTGCCCTGCGTGGGTGTCAGGGTTCCTGCATCAGGCTTCGTGGAGGTCACTGCTCTCTCTTTGGCTCTGAATGACCGCGGCTGCCGGGGAGCCCTCCTGGGTATATATGACCATACTCGTCAACTGTTCGGTCCCACCGGGGACCACGGCCTCGGCGCTGAGCGCGGCCCCAGCCTGCAGGATCTCCTGGGAGCCGGCTGCCTCGATCACGGTGTGGGAGAACACACCCGCCCCGTCCTGCACCCCTGGGGGCAGTTCGGTCACGATGTAGTGGGTCGCCCCCTCGGGGAAGCTGCCGCCGGACTCCTGCACCATGGCCTGGACCAGCTCCTCGGTCACGATGATCTGCGAGATCTCCCCGTCGGATTCTGCCAGGTCGGCGTGCGGGTCGGGGGCCCCCGCCTCCTGCATGACAATCTGGGCGCCGTCCCGCGCCAGCATGTGCACGGCGCCCTCTGCGTTCACGATAACCTGAGTGACGCCGTCCTTGACCAGCTGGCCGGCTGCGGCTGGGTCGCAGACCGCGAACTGCAGGACGCCCTGCACCACCTTCTTGAGGGCCGCCTGGCTGCGCTCCTGTGACGCGACC